AGCTCTCTGCTCCCAATCCTGGATTGATCGATTCCCGGAAACGCTGGTGAAACATTTTACGGACCAAGGGTCGGATCACCGTGCCCTTCTCCTCTCGGATAAGGTTTATGCGTGTCATAGCCGTCCCCTTTTCCGTTTTGATGCCCGCTGGGCTGATAACCTGGAGGTTCGAGCTATGGTTAACTATGTCTGGCGCGACGAGGAGATCTAGGGCACCCCTATGTTTCGACTTTGGGAGCGCCTAAAGAAACTCCGCCATATGTTATATGATTGGAGTAGGGCGGGCACTACAAACTCTTTGCGAAACATTAAAATGCTTCAGGCGGAGATAGAGCGGATAAAGTTACACCAGCCGATTGACTGGGATGCCATTAGAGGTCTGGAGACTGAATTTAGTCGGCAATGGGAAGCGGAGGAGGTTTACTGGCAACAAAAATCCCGGGTCCAGTGACTCAAGAAAGGAGACAAAAATTCATCTTATTTCCATACGGTGACTCGGGTCCGTCGAAAACGAAATTTTGTAGCAGGCCTTCGGGATGAGAACGGGGGCTGGATCACAGAGGAAGCAGGGAAAGCGGGCATTGCCACTGGTTTTTACCAGAATCTTTTTACGTCGGAATCCCAAGTTCCTAACATAGCTGAAAGGGTAGCTACCCTTCCCATTAATCGGAGTGTAACGACGGAGATGAATGCGGTTTTGACCGCGGAGGTTTTGCCGGAGGAGGTTCGCAGGACTGTCTTTTCCATGGGTTCGAAGCAGGCTCCTGGATTGGATGGTTTCACCAGAAAGTTCTTCAAGGCATTCTGGGATGTTGTGGGGGATTCAGTCATTGAGGCTGTTTCCTCCTTCTTTGTGTCAGGCCGGTTGCTACGCAGCTTTAATCATACCTGGCTGACGTTGATCCCGAAGGTGGATAATGTGGAGACGATGCAGCAATTACGCCCAATCAGCCTGTGTCAATTTGTGTACAAAATTATCACTAAGATAATGGTTGAACGGCTTGCTGGCTTCCTCCCTAATATTATTTCAGATGGCCAAAATGCGTTCATCAGGGAAAGACAAATAATTGACAATATCCTCCTGGGCCACGAACTGATGCACTATCTTAAGTTAAAAACGCGAGGAAAGAAAGGATACATGGCTCTAAAGGTTGACATGGAAAAGGCCTATGATAGAGTGGAATGGTCCTTTCTTCTTGCGATTTTAGATAAGATGGGTTTTATCCCGGTTTGCCGGGGATGGATTCATGAATGCCTGCGATCCGCTTCCTTTTCTGTTCTCATGAACGGTTCACCTTCGGGGTATTTCACTACTTCGCGAGGGCTTCGGCAAGGGGATCCGCTATCACCTCTCCTGTTTGTGTTATGCACGGAGGGATTTGCGGCACTCCTGCGGAAGGCTATTACGGAGAAGAAGCTGGATGGGGTGAAAGTGGCTCCGAGGGCCCCGAGGATTTCGCATTTATTCTTTGCTGATGATTCTTACCTGTTCCTGCGCGGTACTCTCCAGGAATGCGAGAATCTGATTGAGGTATTAAATGAGTATGAGGACCTTAGTGGTCAAAGGGTAAATTTGGCAAAGTCGGCAGTTTGTTTTAGTAAGAATATTGCACTGCCTGATCAGGAGTTTTTGGCTACGATTTTGGGGGTGGGAGCAGTTGGGGTCCATGATAAGTACTTGGGTTTGCCTACGCTAATTGCTAGATCTAAATTAGCTACTTTCCGGTACTTAGGAGGAAAAACTTTTGGAGCGATTACAGGGGTGGAAGCAAAGGACTTTGTCCTGGGCGGCGAAAGAAACATTGATTAAATCGATTGCTTTAGCGCTACCGTTGCATGTTATGTCTTGTTTCAAGTTACCTCTCACCCTGTGTCGTCTATTGGACAAACATGTGGCCCGCTTCTGGTGGGGGGTGGAAGAGAATCATTCGAAGATCCGTTGGGTTTCGTGGCGAAACATGTGTAAAAGTAAGCATGATGGGGGGATGGGGTTTAGAAAGTTTGACCATTTCAACCAGGCTCTTTTGGCCAAGATTGGATGGCGGATATTGATGGAGCCCCAATCCCTCCTAGCTCAGGTCTACAAAGGAAAGTATTTTCCTAGAGGGACATTCCTTCAAGCAACGGCTCGGTCCCGCCCTTCTTGGGGGTGGAAAAGCATTCTCTTTGGGAGGCAGTTGCTGGAGAAGGGTCTGCGGTGGCAGATAGGTAATGGGCATTCTGCTCCCCTTCTTGATTCTAACTGGATACCCTGGTTCCAACTTGATCCCCCTAGGTACAATCCCCAGGTGCTACCGGAGGGTGGGGATTTGATGGTAAAGGAGGTCATTTGTCCAGGAGAAGGAGAATGGTGTGAGTTGAAGCTTCACCAGTGGTTTGATCCGCCAACTGTGGAGGCCATTAAGTCAATCCCCTTGCCTCGGAGGGATGTGCAGGACAGACTGATCTGGCATGACACTGTGGATGGAGTTTTTTCCGTTAAGTCTGCTTATCATCTGGCTGTAGCCTTGGATAGGAGGAAGGGTGGTTGGAAATCTATGGTGGGTTGGATGGATAAGGCTAGCTGGGTTTGCTTGTGAAACGCAAATATTCCTCCCAAGTTAAAAGTCTTTGTTTGGCAGATCCTCAATCGTGCTCTTCCAACGACGGAGGCTCTCATTGAAAGGAAAGTTTCGGTGCACCCTCGTTGCCCGGTCTGCTGGGAGGGCAGGGAGACGTTGGAGCATGTATTCATGGAGTGCCTAGTTGCCCGTGCCCTCTGGGATTTTTCGGGTCTGGAGTATCTCGGGGAGGGGTTGCCTAGGCATACGTTCCCGCTCTTTCTGAAGAGAGTGTTGGCGTTGATTCATAACCCTGAGTTATTCATGATGGTGGTGGCCGTCCTGTGGAGAATCTGGCGGTCTAGAAATTGGGTGGTATTTGAGGGGAAGCAATTCGGGATCCCGGCTTTGATGCGTCAGCTTCATCAACAGTATGAGGAGTGGATTGGGCTTTCCTCAAATGTCGTTCTGATGAGGACGGTGCCAGAGTCCGTCCTTGGTAGCTCGCTCGATGACAGCAGGGTGATTTGTATGTGGGATGGGGCCACGAGAAGAGGGTCGCATTCGGCTGGAGGGATAGTAATTATGAATCCGGAGAGGGCTCTCCTTATGGCGAAAGGTGTTCAGTTTCAGTCATTAGATGACCCCATGGTTGTGGAATTGCTTGTACTCAGAGAGGCTATTGTTTGGTGTTTAGGGATGGGACTCTCGGAGGTCAGATTGGAGGGGGATGCTAAAGTGCTCATTGATAAGATCAACAAGGCTGATACGAGAGATAACCGGGTGGGGGCGGTGCTAGAAGAGATAAGATATTATTTTCACGCTCATCCTGGGTTAGTTATTCGATTTGTAGGGCGGGGTAACAATAGGGTAGCCCATTTAGTGGCTAGAAAGGCCCTTTCTTTGTACCCGGCTATGAGTCGGCATTTTGATTTTCTGGCCTGGCTTGGTTCCAGGGTGTAACTATCGATTTTTGCTATCAATATATGATTATCTTTTGTCAAAAACAAAAAAAAAAGTGAATACCATTGAACGTGCTAGCTCCTCGGACGCCATTGTTTCTCTGTTTTCAGGCTGAATTTTCTTACGTAACTCAGCCTTCAATCCTTCTCACCACTGACTTGAACCGTGGCTCTGATACCACTTGATGAACACCCAGGAGGTGCTTTTTATCAAGGTATCGCAGCAAACACACTCTCGAACGATAACGATGGAAAAGTAGAACTTCGCCACAATCAAGGTGTTTACTTGATTGATAAGAAGCTTGTTAAACGATTCTGGACTCCTCGCAAAAAAGCTTGACAAGGGTTCTCGAATTAGTAATAGAATCCACACAAAACTAACTCAAGGACTTGACTCTTGAGACACAACTGAACGAACTCGAAACTCACGTAGGAGTAATGTTCATTCAACTAAACTTGGATCCCTTACAACGTGAAATTGAAAGCTATTTAAAGACAATAAAAACCTAATAGAAAGTAAGCTACCAGCAAACACTACAAAAGCAGCTTTCGTACTAACTTCATCTCATTCGTTCGAGGCTTTCCAGAACGCCAACCCTTCATCCAATTCCTTCCCTTTGTATATAAACATACCTAGTTTCATGTTGTGGAAGCCTTTTCACTTGAATCAGATCCATGCTCCTCAAATTGAGCTCCAAATTAGACTTCACAAAACAGTTTTCTGCCTTAGCTATTTTCTGGGAGTTTTTAGCTTTCCATATACATTTTTGAACAGTATGTAAAATGACCTTCTGGACTTCCTCTCGAGCTCCAGAGCATATCAATGGATAGATAAACATCTCATCTTCAAAACAAACTCTTAAAATCTCATTTCCATGTAGCCAAATGTGAGAACCAAGCCTCCAAAGTAGCTTACCTGAAACTGTTTCAAATCCCGGTGACCGGATTCATCTAGCCGAGCCCCCTTCCTCTCCCTCTCTACCCGTCAGCCACCATCCCGGTGACCGGATTCCTCTTCCCCTCAAGCCTAATTCCTATTCTACCTCACCCAAATCCCCAATTCTCATACCAATCGCAATCCCTAATCGCACACCTAGATCCATGCTCTTTCAGTGGTATCAGAGCCTGGCTGGTGTGTCGATTCTCTGAAGAAACACTGCAATCCGAAGATGTCAAGTAATCGCCGCGCCAGAACAAGGAGGTTGTGACAATCAAGGATGTGACGGCAAGCAAGTACGATGCGATGGCAGCATCGTTGGAGAGCCTGACGGAGGTTACTATGAGGGCATCTGAGGCCTCGAGTGGCTCGATCGGGGAAATCGAAGCCATGGGCGACCAGATCAAGGCTTCCATCGAAGAGATGGGCAAGAGCGTGGATGAGAACATATGCGGAGCCCTGGAGGCGACGATGTAGGAGGTGCTAACCCAGGTTCTTAAGAACCGGGAGCCGCCGGCGACCGCAGCACTGGAGGTGACACCGGCGACCGCCGCGGCGAGGATGGCGGAACAGGGTGGCGGCGACGTGGTCGTCGCGAGCAGGGCGAAGCCGCCGAGAGGTGACGCTGGAGCTGGAGGACCCACGGTGGTGGCGCGCCGGGAGGAGGAGGCGGCGAAGGAGAAGCCGCCTAGCGGCGGTGATGAGGCGGGGACGGGCGGGTCTCAGCCGCGACAGGCGGTGCACCGGGGAGCTCGGCCATGCCGCGCACCCGCGCCGTGGAGCAGTGAGATTTGAGCGCGATGAGCGCGCCCGAGCTAGTGTTCAGTGGTCCGGGCTTGCTGCCAACACCGACGGATCAGGTCCATGACAAGGCCCGTGGAAACCAGAAGATGGTGGGGTACGAAGGAGAGCCATGGCCGACTGGGCCCTGCGGAGAAGACCCATGGTCGAGTTGGCCAGGGGAGGAGGACGAGCTTATCTTTGCGAACCCGGAAGGATGGGTGGACCCGGGCCCAGAGGAGGCGAGATTGGGCTGGGTCTCGGACTCGAAGTTGGGCCAACCACTAGGCGGCTGACCGGTCGGAATGGGATCGGTCGAACCAGACCAAACCGGGTCGGGTCATCCACCGGCGGACAGCAGCTGGGGTGCTCCGGACAGGGGTCTTGGCAAAAGCCAGGAGGACGGGTATCCCCCGTGGAGTACACCGCGAGCAGGGGAAGGGCGAGGTCGAGGCTGTCAGGACATTGGGCAGGGATCTGGGACCAAACTAGAGTACGGCGAGAACCACCAGGAGATGACGGGCGAATGGCCCTATTCTTACCCGCAGCAAGCCGAGGGTAGCTACTACCATCAGGGCCCGATGAATCGACAACCACCGCCGAACACAAGTAGGTATGGATACAGTAACCCCCTGTATGATGCTGAAGATGAACTGGTATTTAGAGCTAAACCGCCAGTGATAGAGTTTCCCAAGTTCGATGGGTCGGAAGATGTGGGCTTATGGCTTTATGCAGCAGAGAGGTGGTTCAGGAACCACCCGATCCGAGAAGAGCGGAAGGCGCACCTGGCATCCTTCTATCGTGAGGGAGATGCCCTCTAGTGGTGGGAATGGACCGAGAGAGCTTATGCGGCAGCATGTGAGGATATTGTGGGCCCGGTTCCAGGACGAGCTGCGCTATCAGTTTGGCAAGGCGGAGGGATGGGCTCCGGAACAGCTAGCCAAGCTCAGACAGACGGGTTCGGTGGCCGAGTATCGCGCGGAGTTCCTTAAGCTGGGAAACCAATGCAAGGAAATGACAGAGGAGACCCTGGTGGGATTGTGTATGGCGGGACTCCATCCTGAGCTAGCAACAGCCGTTAAGGTTTTCTAACCTGACTCTCTTTGAATTGCTTTCAGGATTGCAGAGCGCAAGGAAGAGGAGTTGGCTAGCTGGAGGACGTCGGCGGGGCGTATCCAGAAGGCCACTGGGGGAATGGGAGCAAGAGCAGCTGGTACCAAACCACCGCCGGGAAATGCAAGCCCGGTGGCCACTGGAGCAGCGTCGGGAAACAGGTTCCAGTCAAGGCTGCCGCCAAAGGGGTTTGTCCGGCTAACTTAGGCGGAAATGGACCAAAAGTGCAGAGACGGTCGTTGCTTTAACTGCGACGAAAGGTACACGGTAGGGCACCAATGCGCCAAGGGATATCTAATGCTGCTTGTCGGGAACTGGAAAGACGAAGGGGAGGAAATGGAGGCGCGAGAAGCGGAAGGGAAGAAGGAAGTGAAGAAAGAAGGTCCACCTTGAGGGCAAGGTGGGTTTCAAGGGGGATGGGATGTTAGATATACTTTAATTGGGGTTTTATTTGTTATTTGGACGTTTTGTTATGTCAGATATTTCGGGAATTATTGGGGTTAAATCAGTTATGTTAAGTCTTTGGGTAGTTATAGGGAATTAGTCGGATTATATATATTCTGTGTTAGGCCTAAGCTAGGGTTAAGCAATAACAACAGAATTATTCCCTAAGCACTCTCTCTCCCTCTCTCTAGCCGAGCCCCCTTCCTCTCCCTCTCTACTCGTCGGCCACCATCCCAGTGACCGGATTCCTCTTCCCCTCAACCCTAATTCCTATTCTACGTCACCCAAATCCACAGTTCTCATACCAATCGCAATCCCTAATCGCACACCTAGATCCGTGCTCTTTCAGGATATAGACACTTTGTCTGTTGATGCACTTCAGAGTTCCTTATTAGCGTAGAACAGAAATTTCGCAAGAAGCTTGTGGATGAGGACCAAGCCTTTAAATACACTTGTGATTATGGTGGTCATGGTCGAGAACGTGTTGGCTTTAAAGGCAAGGGTCGAGGCCAAGATGGAAGAGGATGGAATCGAGAACAATTGAATGTTTTAGGTGTCATACGTTTGGTCATTTCAGTTTTGAATGTCGAGAGTTGAATTAAAGGGCTTGTTATTCTTCTGCTGGTTATGGATATATGGAAGAAGATATGTTGTTAATGGCTTGTGTAGAACCAACGGAAGAGAGAGAAATACAAGGTCCACTGTTGGTGTCCTAGGATATACCATCAAATGATAAAACAGATGACGGGTGGTGTCTACCCTCAAACTGCAGCAAGCACATAACTAATACAACAAAAGAGTCTACTAAAACAACAATAGATTCAAGTCAACCTGGTGTAAAGCAATTACTGGAAGAAGCATCAGAGAATATTGATCCAAGGTTTGATGCCCTAGATAGCAAAGAAAGTGAGCATTACTTGAGGAAGGCAATAAGAGAAATCCCTCAAGTTGAGCATTCATCAGTTGTTGTTGGTTTCAAGTCTATGCTTCAACAAAGAGGAGATATAATCGTGCATTCACGTTGGTCCATGGTTAAGGACAGTTTAAGGAATACTCCTAGGCACAAGACTAAAAAGCATGAGGATCGGGAGATCTCATTTAGTAAGTATTCATCGGACTTAAAAACAACATATAAGGAAGTTGGCGTAACATAAAAGGAAAGAGGATCAAAACAGAAGATTATCTGTGTTCGGGAAGATATATAGAGGAAGAAGGATGGAAACAAGGTTTGAAGCTCGAGATGCAATCCAACGTAAATGGGCAGCTCATTCACCCTCCTATTGGAGCTAAAGGGATAGGGGTCAAGAAAACAACTAGAGTGCAGGAGTTGGCAATTGAAAAGCAGACGCTTGAAGTTGTTGAGTAGTCGAGTTCCAAAATTAAAAGACAATATACTTTCCTGGATAAGTACAAGGCTGGGCCAATGAATGAAGGGAATACAGTGCAACCGCTTGTGAAGAATGTGATGCAACCATAAGAGTTTGTGGTTGCAGGGGAGGAAGAGAAGGAAGAGAATAATGTGATGCAACCACCAGAATTGGTGGTTGCAAGCTCAAGAATGCATTATATGGCTTGAAGACAGAGCAAGAGCATGTTACAACAAGCTTAGAAGGTACTTCTTGTTAGCTGGCTTTCATACTTGTCCAGGTGATCATGATTTAGTCTTGAAAGAGCATAAATGGAATCGGTTGGTGGTTAGTTTGTACATGGATAATATCATGTACGGTAGCCACAGTCAGATTCTAATTGAGGAATTTGAAGAGGTCAAGGACTCAATGGAATCTATGTTTGAGATAAGGTTGTTGGTTTTCATGACAAGGTTCAAGTTGTTCTGAGTTATAGTATTCAGTATCTAGGAGGTCAAAAAGACAATTACTATAGTGGGATTGAAGTTGGTGTAGACAGTCAAGGAGTTGGCTTTGCAATTAGGTGGTTGTTGGCATTAAGATCTAATTCGGTAATTGCATACGTGGTAAACTACGTAAATACATTTGGTTTGATCAAATTATCAGGGGGATTGTTCGGTATTACAACTGATTTTGCAGCAGGATTTTACGATTTTGTAGCCTCTCTTGTCAGCTTTGTAGTTGGTGTTGCAACTGGCTTTGACATGGTGAAGACTAGCAAAATTAAGGTTGTATTTGAGGAAGAACAATTAGAAATTGATTTTTCTAAGGGAAAAGTGAAGAAAGAAGGTCGTGGATCTAAAAGAAAGGCTCATACTTTCAATGATGAGGAATTCTTTATTAGTTCAGTACCTAAAAACAAGCACACAAAAGATGGCTTATTAGTAAGAGCTACAGAAGGTTTTAGATCATATAGGTTGGAAGTTGTTGTTCTAGATCTAGTAGCAAATGATAAGGATGGCTTAAAGAAGGAGAAATCTGTGTACCATTGGGATAAGGAAGCTAAAAAGTACATCAAGTTGAACAATGGAGATTGTGTTAGAGCAAGTGGGAAGATAACGACTAAGAGTGGTGCTAAAGAGATTGCAACAAGGACAGGGATATACAAGGAATGTAAAGACAGGTCGCACAGTTTAGAGGAGGATCAAATGGTGATGGCAATGTTGAAGAGTTCACCAGCACATCAAGAGACGACAATGATCGATATAGGACCGTATTTATGCAACTTTAGTATCATGGTGTTCGAGATCAGTTTGACCAAATCACAGCTGCTATTGGAGTTGGTCGTATTGTTATTGCTGATTTAGATAACTCAGATTCTTAGAAGATTTCGTTGCATTGAAGATAGAGCTGCAAGATTTTGGTTCTTGTTGCTGCTGGAAAATTGTTGTTGTGGCTTTGCTGCTACTGGAGTAAACTGAAGTATCTATATGCTTCAGTTTAGGGGAGGCTATGTTAGAATAAACGGGTCGCGTGGTTGTGCACGTGAGTTTTAAGCTGTTGGTAATTGGTAGTTGGTTTTGCTGTTAAGTTTTATTGTCATTTAAACAACAGGTAGGATTATGTTAATAGGAGTCTAGTAGAGATCAAGTGGGTAGTTAGTGGTGCTATTGTTTTTCAGGGATATACGTTAGTGGTTAGGAGTGGGAGCCGTACTTGGCATTTTTGTATTTAAGCTTCTTTTGATTCTTCAATAAAGTTTTGTCAGTTTTGCGTCAATTAGGTTTACGGTTTTACCATTAACTAATTTTAATTAGTAATGCCTCTGTCTATCTCCATTAGATGGCTGATGTTGAATTGTTACGGTTTGTAATGTCTGGTTACAATTAGAAACTCGGGTGGACGGATTACTAACAGCCCGCTAGTCCAGGCCCAAGAAACTAAGCCTAAGAAAATGGACGGGCCCAAAATAAACTAGAGTTGGCAATGCTTTTGCTATCATTGATCAAATGGATTCTCACTCTACAACTAACAACGCTTGGTTGTACATTTTTCGTGAAATCCATTGGTTGTTTTGTCAATTTTCTTATAGTATGATAGTCATAATACAAA